AAGCAATTTAGTGGACAAAAACAATAAGACAGAATATAACAATACATTCCACTTAACTTTCTGAAACTTTTGCTGCTGATGTGTTTCTCTGTTTATATATGTGTATAGTAGTGAAATATTCCATGGAAAAATGTATTTCCTATTATGCATCATTGTCAGAAAGTCTCTGAGCTTCTGTTCTAGAGTTATTATGAAGACCAATTAAACATAAGTTATTGGAGAACTATTAAAATCTAAAACACTGCAAGTGTAGGTTATTATTACTTAACATTGGGAGCTGACACAAATAAGGGATGCAGAGAAGTTGCTACTCCACCCATCTGATCTGTGCAGACAGTGGTAACTTGTCACCACATCATGTCCAGAGAAACAGGGCCTCAGCTTTGACATTCCCCAACCGCACCATAGGCCTTAAGGTAAAAAATCATTCTGCAGATCCTACAAAGCTATGTATTGTTGGAGTAGTCTGTGGTTATAAAACGTTGCTTCTTATTCTGGACCAGTCTGTTATACATTGTTGCTTAGCATTTACAGACATCTGGCTTTCATTTAAGCTTGAGGAAAGCAGGTGAGATCCGTATGGCAGCATGCATTTTCTAACAGGCCTCAAAAGCGTTAGCTACTATCTGCTCCCCTCAGAACATTCCCATATCATCTTTACCATCTTCATCTGGAAGTAATTAACCTTCTGCCTTTCAAAGGGTATAACCATCAGTGCTCAGTAGCAATAGATATAGATGTAGATATAGATATATTTACTTGCAGTGTGAGGTACGCTGACAGTGACGATCTGCAGCAGGTGTGGAAGAGTGCAGAAAGGCTGTCTGACACCAGGGCCGGAAGGATCTAGTCAAAAGTCAAAGGCCTGGAGTCCACTGAAGAGTCCCACGCAGGTCTGATCTGCGACTCAAAGGGTCTGTGCAGCAACACCAACTAGTCTGTCCTGGAAACCAGGAGGCAGATGTCCAAGGTGATGGCACAGGCTGGGGCTCCTCCAAAGAGCAAAAGCAAGACTTCCTTTTCTTTCCCTTTTTATTCTATTCAGGCTATAAGCCTACTGGATAGTGCCACCCAGGATGGATATTCCTTCTTCAGTAAGTCCATCGTTCAGTCCCACAGTCAGAACTATGCTGAGCATTTGTTACTCAAGTGTACACAATCTTTAACACAGTAGGTGTCAGACCAACCTAGAATGTCCACCTATTTTCCTTTGAAACAGGTGGCAAGAAGTAGCTCTGCCAAGGCCGTTTTCATTGGAACACATTCTTTTCTCACTAACTGCAGTTCATGTGGGAATTTCAGGGACCATGGGGTGCAGATCCCCCAATATCTACCCTGAAAATGTGCATCCTAGGAGATGGATTGCTTCTCAGCTGAAAACTCCAGTGATCAAAACAGGATCCATATCTCCCCCAGGTGAAAATCATGTGTGAGTTTGTTTGTCTGCAGTCTACAAGGGAAGCTTGCAGACTTGGCAGTACTTGGAGAAAGCAGGAGAGGGGTCCATGTGGACATAGGGACTTAACAAGCAGTTGTGGAAGGCCCTTTCAGTGCAGTGTGCAGTATATAGGAACGTCTATGTGGACATTTTAAATCGAGACTCAACATGGCATTCTGAATTGCGTGAAGAGGAGCTCAGGCAGTTGAATTACGAGAACAGAAAGCAGGCACTTGGTGTTTATGGACCTTGCTAATGAATGAGTCCCGTGGCCTCTGCTGGACCAGCTTCCCAGCACTCTGCCAGCCTGTTTCCCACACATCTGCAAATCCATCAAGCTGTAATGCATGGCTGATGCCAACCAAGGCTGCAGTCTAGGCCTTTCTCCCTGGGACACATAGAGATCTAAAGGCATTAATAATTCATTCTGGAGTAATGAACATAGCTATAGCAAGTTGTGAGATGTAATAAGCAAGTGACAGATCAATTTATTACTTCACTGTGCCAAAAGATGATAGTGATGAAAAGGTGAAGGTTTTTCTCCCAAAAGTTTCCTATCAGTGTATTTTTTAAGTTCCAAAATGTAATGGATCATTAATAGGGAAATGAATTAATGGAGAATATTGAATAGCCTCTAGCCTATTTTTATGCAGAGTTGCTGATCCAGAGTTACTGTACCATTTTCGAAATGCCTTTGGGCATTGGGCCCTGCAAATCAGCGTAATTATTACTCATTAATTAAATCTTAAGAAGTAGAATACAGCTTGAGACTTTTAAGAAGGGAGTTTGGGATAGTTCAAATTGATTTCCCCCAAATCATAAATAATAATTTGAGGTTTATGAGTAAGTAGTTGGGCTGAGAATAATAGTATACTAAGGTTCTCCATTTATCTGTTAATGCCTCATTGAAAAGTCCCCGTGCCAAATACTGTGCTCAGCACTAGTTCTACCAAATAAAATACCACAGTCCCTGTCCTCAGGCAGTGGTAGAGACATCAACACAGTGGAATAAATGCTGGAGCAGGCCAGCATGTGTGCCTGCATCAGGACTGGAGGACCAGGGCGAAACACAGGAAAAAAGCAGATAGAGGATTGGCTTTAACTGAGCCTGGCAGATCAACAGTTTGCTAAGCAAAGAAGAGTTAGAATAAGCTAGAGAGGAAGTGATACAAACAAAGGCAGAGAGGTGTGACAGTGGGAAGAGGATGGAGAGTGAATTACTCATAACTACATTTCCTGTGCATAATCACATTCAGTCTTTACATAAACAGCATGAGATAGGTGTATCGTTCACCCTAGCCTTGCCTTTTGGAACCTTCAGCTGAGGGTTTCAGCATAATGAGTTACTTCTCCAGGGACCCAGAGCTGATAGTAGAGGAAGGCTTAGAGATGAGTTCGGGAAATGTGTGCTTTTTATGAGTTTCCACTCTGGGTGTAGCTCGGTGGTACAGAGCTTTCCCAGCATCTTTGAGGCCCTGGGTCTAATCTTACCATCTCAAAAATAAAGGAGATGGCACCACAGATTTATTGTTATACTTATCATGAATTAACAACACCATCACTAAACACTTCATAGATGCCTTGCCTGCTGATAGAGACTGAGAGGTTTGAGACTATTGTTTTCAGCAGAGGAGTGTTCTGGGCAGAGCTGAATTTCAGACTGTAACTTGTGGCAGGCGGGATAACACTGAACCTAGAAGGTTGTAGAATCACCGGCCTAGTCCTTAGGCTTTTGTTCTAGTCTGATACAGAGTGGAAAAACAGGATGGTAAAAAATGATCATCATCTAAACCATATATTTTTATACTGGTCTTCAGTTTAACAGTGATTTCACACAGAAATAGCCTGTTGATTTACTTGCACAAGGGACTTTTGTGAAAGAAGGGGGGTAAGTCTAATGACCTAGCTCATTTAGGAAGGAAGTAGAAGGACAGAGAATTCCCTTCCCACACATAGGAGCTAGGGTGGAAAGTAGTGATGTTATAAGCAGCTTGTAAATATGCATACTTGATGATTGACTGTGGCACAGGACCAAAGCCTCTACTCCTTGCCAGGTATGAACTTGACCATCTGTATTACTCTTTCAGGCTGGCAATGCCATGTAATTCTGGGAAGGATAGAAAGCTATAGTAAACCCAAAAGACACAGGTAGATCTAAGAAAATGTTTAATAAAATATCTTTATGTGGACCAGAGACAGTTCAGGACATTGGTGGCAACTCTCCCCTCTGCAGGTGTTGCTTAGCAGCCAAAATGCAAATTCTCTTCCTGAAGGGGCTGTGCCATCATTAAAATTCGTCAACCTGACACACCCTGCCCCTTTTAACCAGGGAAGTTAAATTAGGCTCTTAGCCTCAAAACTTATAGGAAAGCATACATATGCTGATAAAGTTGGCTGCTGTAGTATTTTAATAAAGGCTCAGTTTAAAAACTGGCACTCAAGGTTTAAAATCTCTTTTCATCCTACAAAGTAGAGGTGTACAAGAGAAACAGTGCAGGCACTTATAGAATTGTGAGTAAAAAGTGTTCCGTATAAATAGCACTAAATGGTAGGGAGGTAGACCTGTGCAAACTGCCCATCTTTGCTCAATTTCTCTCTAGGTTCAAGTTAATAATGAATAGCTTCCTTTTTCTAACAGGTGATTTAGGGAAGTTCCTGATATTTTCTTAGCATTAATAAATGGCATGAGCTTTTAATTAATTTCTTGTTAGTTATTCACTTGTATATTTTATATACCAGGCCAGCAAATGAATAATCGGGTTTTAAAGCTAGATCCTAATGTGGCCTGCACTTGGGGTTTAGATATGTGGTTTGGGTAATCATTTATCTAAAAATATGCATACATATTTAGTAAATTACTCAGACCCACATACTACAGACCCAGTGTGTTTCTTAAATTTTGAGTATAAATGACAGTATAAACACAGCCTCATACATTGGGTATACAGTAGTGCTTTTTTATTTCTGTTTATACCACATTTCCACTTAATGTGAGCCACATGTTTAATCTAATGAGACTTTAATATTTTGAGTCCAAAGTACTGAATTGCCTGACTTGGTTTTAAATACCAGATCTGTCGATTTTAAAAATTAGGTTTGTTTTTTGCTATGTTTGTAAATGAATTAAAGCTGTCAAGAGTTTTTATATTTGTGCTAGAGAAAATGCTAATGATCAAAGTGATTTAAGCAATAGCCAAGTACATAAGTTGTAACTACAAGGGATTAGCAGTTACTGGGACTTGCAAAACAGCTATTTAGATGGGCAGAGATTCATAATTTGGCAGGTAGCTGTTTTGGCCAATTGTTTGGTTGTCTCAGGCCGACTGGAAATTGTGGGAAGTGTCATACCCTGAAATGAATGGATGCTGAATAAAAATTTACAAACTTCAGTGGGTGAAAATGCTAGTGGAAAAGTTTCTCTTAGTTCGTACTGTGTAAAGGGGCTCCTACAGAGGAGAAATCTGTAAATATGAAGATAGTAAGGTAGGGAGGGAACTGCAAGGCCATCTGTCCCCAGTGTACCGTCTCATTTTTGCCTTTCTTTCTTCCTTTTTCCAAACAGTGTTGCTAACAACCACAAGCAGAATTTGATGACCGTGGCAAACCTTGGTGTGGTGTTTGGACCCACCTTACTTAGGCCTCAGGAAGAAACAGTTGCAGCCATCATGGATATCAAATTTCAGAACATTGTCATCGAGATCCTAATAGAGAACCATGAAAAGGTAATAATATAATTGGCCCTCTCAAGGAAGAGTTTACTTAGGAGAAAGCTACATCAGAATTGGTCTTCAGGTTGACATGGGTGTGCATTGCTAATGTGTTTTGCACTGTGATGATGATAAATTGCTGATTATGGTAGCACAGTGGTGATGGTGGTCCTCAGAGTGCTAGTAGAGGTAACAACAATGGCAGTGATGGTGGCAGCATGGTAGTTATGGTTGTGAGCATTTGTTTTGTGCCAGGTGTAGATTGTCATTTTATCCTCACAATAATCCAGTGAAGCAGTTAATGTTATGACCCTCATTTTTAATACATTCTTTGCGCATTTTTTATTAGGTTGTCTTAGGAATTTATGAGACTTTTAATATTAGGAATATTTTTAAAAATTTTATTTTAGAGAGTCTAAAACCAAACAAAATAAACAGAATAAAGTGAATCAAAACAAGACAGTGTTTTTCATTTGTGTTACAAGCAATTTTCCTATACAGTTTGTCTTTAGACTTAATAAATAATGTGTTTTTTGTACATTTTGTGTATATGCATGTGTGTGCATGGGTGCGGTCTTTTCTTTCAGAACACTGGGATTTCTAGTCTTTTGTAAGATTCCTCCTGCCCCACTGAGTTAACTCAGAGCTGCACTTTAAAAACTGAGAGGAAAAGGGAAATCATATTGTTGGCTCAATTTTGCATGCATGTATCTGATAAACTGAATAACTATCTTGAAGATAACAATATGCAATATAACAACCGTTGTTAAATTCCTGTCATCTTGTCTCTGAATCCTGTATCGTAGTTGTTTGGTTGCTGTCGTCATGCTGCTTTCATTGTTGTTTTTTGATTTTTTGTTTACTTCTTGATTTTTATCTTTTTCTCTTAAAAGAAAAAGAGTAGGAGACACAAAGCTTCCTTCATCTGTTCCACCTCCATGTCCCCAGCAGCAAATTTCTATGAAGCTTCCTTCTCTGGGCTTATGCAGGGTTCTTTAGGCTGTCATTTGGCAGCCTCAACTGTGAAATCTCATAAAAAATACTCCTTTCTCTAAATAAAAATTTTGCCTAGACTAGTGAGATAATCGTGGAGGATAAATCTAGAATCTCACTACAGTGATACCTTGGTACTCATAGTTAATTGGTTCCCAAAGGCACAAATACCAAAAGGAAGGAGCACCAAACAAATTATTTTGGCTAGAAAGGCTAGTAAGTCACAAGGTAGCTGACACTGACAAGTTCTAACTTGTGCTTTAAGTGCCAAACAAAGGATGAATACTGGGACACAATTTTTTGCATGAAAATTCTTCTAGTACCAAATTTGGTGAGTTTCAAAGCAATTGAGTACCGAGGTATGAATGTACTACCTGCACTGGTAATACAAACCACCATCACTCTTTGACTAAATTTTTGTAAGATCCTCCAGTTTGCTTCCACCTAAGCCTGTCCATTCTGATACCCATTGGAATGAGATTTTTAATGTGCTAAACCAGATCATATCAGTGGCTTTCTACCGTATTTGGCATAAAGGTCAGTCTTTATATGAACCTGAGAGGTCCTCCCTAGCTCCATCCTCCCACTTTTTATTAAGATCATCTGATCTCCTGCATCATCCCTACACTGCTCTGACAGCTTGCTGCCCTTTAGATATGGCAGGCACACTCCTGTCTCAAACTGTCTCATCTGCTGTTCCCTTCACCTGGAACACTCATCCTCCATGAAATCACGTGACTCATTTCCCCATTTCCTGCAAGTGTCTTGAGTAAGGCCTGCTGAGAACTCTCTATCTAAAACAACAAACACTCCTAGCCTCCAGTATTCTCTTTCTTCTTTCCTTTGCTTTTCTCTTTCTGTCTCACTTATCACTTCCTAGCATATTATATAACTGACTTATTTTAGATCCATTACCTTTCTCCTCTCCACAAGCATTTATGCTTCACGAAGGCAAGAACGTTCATTTGTTTTGTTCATTGTGTGGTTCCCAGTTCCTGAACAGGTGTTGGGTGACCTGCAGAATGGCTGCCAGGGACCTTGTCTTCTAGTATTTACCTCCCTGTCAAGTCCCCTCCAGCTCTGAATAGGGCTGGCCAGTGTGATCAATAGAAACCTACAAATACAATGATATGTGATTTCTAAAATTAGTCACGAGAGGCCTTGCACCTTTGTCTTGGCTTCTGCATTTGCTTGTTCTGGGAAAGTAAGCCCCCAAATTGTGAGGGCAGTCACGATAGACCCAAAGGGAGGAACTGAAACTTCCTGCCAACAGCCAGACCAGCTTGCCAGCCCTGTAACCCAGTCACCTTGCAAGTGATGCCTTAGCCCTGACTGCACGTCCCCACAATGTTGCTCCCGCTAGTATTTTGAGTGCAGCCTCATAAAAGAAACTGGAGTCACAACTATCCTGTTAGCACCCTTCTAAATTCCTGACCCACAGGAATGAGGAGAGATGAACTGTTGTTTTAAGGTCATAGGTTTTAGGAATAATAGGTTATGGGGTATTTGTTATATGACTATTAGAGAATCTGTGAATATAAACATTTTATAAGATAACAGCATTTCCTGCAAAGTTGTATAAGCAACATAGTCCTCCTCTTGGAAGGTTAATAAGAGATACAGGAAACTAATAATTTATTGGAGAAAAATGCCTTCTTTTTGTCCTTAATTTTCAGCTCCAGTCTACCTATCTCCTTCAAATATAGGAAATCAGGTAGAGGGTTGTTTGTGCTATATACAATAAAAATGAACTTGTGGGAAGAGAACAGACTGTATATACTAGTCATTCGTAACCTGGATTCTAAAGGCAAATCACTTGTGTTTAAATCCACTACTTCTTGCTAGCCATGTGATTGTGCGCATCTAGATTGTTGAACTTCTGAATACTCATGTGAATATGTTCAGTAGAGCCTCACTTACCTTCATATTGAGTAAAGTGGGAAGCCACTGGATGCTTCATAGCATAGACCCATACAACAAACAACCAAGGTATCGGGTACTCAGGATACTTGGAAGCTTATCTTTTGCCCACATAACAGTTCTGTGCAGGTATTCTCAATTGGTATCCTCTGTAGTAGTTCAGCACCCCAAGTTCCTGCTACTTCATGTCTCTGCCTCTGCCAATTCTCTACATCAATAAAAGTGGTAAGATTTTTATGGACTATTCTCAGGTGATCCTCACTTTATTTTTCCCCATTTGATTGCCCCAAGCCAGTCCTATGGTCACATCTAAGGGTAGTGAAGGCTAGGAAAAACAACCGAATGGTATGAAGAAAAGGAAGCAAATTTAAAGATCAGCTTACCAGACTTCCACATTCCTTTTGTGAGAGTTAAATGTGATGATTTCTATAAAGGACTTAGCCAAGGTTCTGGATTATAGTCAGCTTCAGTCACTACAAGCCACTTTTTTTTCTTTAGTAGTCTCAAAAAAATTCTTTGGAAATAGAGCTCAAGATTATCTTTAGATATTAGATATCTAAGATTATCTTTAGATATCTTTTCTCTCAAATAGTACTTTTTATAATTTAATCATATCTTAGCTAAAATCACTCAGAATGTTGAGGACAAACTAAGCAAGAAGGACTTTGATTATTTTATTCCCTTAAAGAGTATATTTAAGTTTATAGTAAGCAGCTTCTAAGGGATTTTGAACTATAACTCAGTTTTGAGTGTCCTTGGGCTCATAAAACTAGCTTCACGGTTGCTCCTAATAATATTATTGAAACTTGCATAAATAAAAGTAGCCATCCTGTCTTGAATACAACTTATAGAAGCAGAAGTATGAAATTTATGACAGGGTCTATATATATGAGCAAGTGGCTGATGAAAATGGTTACCTAGTTTGGTGGATTATAAATTATATTACTCTGATGTTGATTTGGTGTTGTGCAAATAAAAGAGTATTATAGTGTTTCATTATATATTGTTCTTCATTAGTCTATACAGTGAGTCAATATGAGCAAAAACATTCCAGAATAAAGTTTGTCTCAGCCCTGAGAGAGTTAGTGTACCACTAAGGCACGGCTTTTTAATATGGGGTTTCTGATAGATCTGTATATGCAAGACCTATATATGTGTGTTATTTTAGGGGAAGAATCCTTACTATCCATTAGGTGGATCCTGGTGGATTAATATCCACCCTACAGGGGACAGCTTGACACCTGTTTAAATGTAGCTTAAGGCATAGCCTGGTACAAAATCAGGAGATGTTGCCTCAGTCTCTATTGGAAGTCTCTGGTGTTTGTCACACAAGAATCCTAAGTATCCTTGGCCTTGCTCTCTTATAACAGAACTCTACTGTGGCCGCCAAATCTAGAGCCTGTTTATGTCCTTAGAAAGTATCATTAGAGACTTACTCTTCAAAATCCACAACCTCTTAGTTAAATCCACAAGGTCTTACTTAATATTTAATAGCATTCCTTTAGGTGTGGCTGTAATTTTCTAGAAACACACAAATGTTTAAAAGTTACTGTTTATCTGAGTAATTTTTAGTGTCAGAATTTGAACAAAATCCTGAAGCCCCACCTCAAGAAATGCTTTCCAGCAACGCCTTTTCATCTGATAGCATCTGCCCTCTTGGCTTGAAACAAGTCCTAATGTGGAGTTTAAATATATGACTCCTGCAGTGGCTAGTATATTATCCTCTCAAGTTGTTAAGAACATTTTATATAAGGTAGTAACTTTATGCCTTGGAATAACACTCAAGCAAGAGCTAGGAATAAATAGAAAACAGTTCTGAAAGAAGGATGTGGAAACCCAGGCATCCAACCATTGGAACCATCTCCCAGAGAGAGGAAATCACAAGATGCCTGCTCTAGTTTTCTATTATTGCATAGCGAATAATTTCTAAACATAGTGATTTGAAGCAGCAACATTTTTGTAGCTCTCAATTCTTTGGGTCAGAAACTTGGGGAGGGCTCATGTATGTCCCTTATGGCATCAACTTAAGGGATTTGACAGGGATTAAAAGGTCCAAAATGGTCTCATACCAGAGTTCTGAGACATTGGTCCTGGCTGTTGGC